TTTTAGCCCGTACACTTGGAGAAAGTTTGACGTACGGTCGGGCAGCAAAGGCTTACAGGACATTTCATAAACTGATAAAATATGGGTATTTGTGATTTTATAAAGTCTGAAAATCTATGTGTGCTTAAATCTAATCTAAATGTCTCTTGTTTTTAATCTTATAATTCAAAGATGCACCATGAGTAAACATTATTGTCATTGGGCCAATAGATGGAATGACTGAGTGAAAATACAGTGTTTCTGTAAAGTAACCTGGGCAAATGCTGGTGGGCCAAATCAAAAGGTTTGGTGGGCCAATTTTGGCCTGCGGACCCCAATTTGGGCACCTCTGTTTTACACTATTTACACTAACGTACCCGTTCACTCTCATTGATGCTGTTTTTGTAAACTGAACAATTAATAGTGTTCATAATTGCTAATGCTCTCATCAAAATTCCTGTCACAACAGACAACACTTTTTTTTCCAATAAATCTTGAGTTCAAAAAACTATTAGTTTTTCTTCTTTTTGACCATGAGTAAGTAAAGTTCAGTTCAAACTTTTAATGAGACTTCAGTCAGAGAGTTGCCTGATAGCAATATTGTTGATTTAAGTTTAATGAAGCTTCTAGTTTGAAWTTTTTTTTAAGTGCCAACTGGAGTTTTTTATATAAAATCAGAGTAGAACATTGTCCCTGTCTGAGGATGCTGCTCGCTCTGGTTCTACCTGCGCCTGGGTGGTGTAGGTGCCGTTGTGCAGCTCCAGGAAGAGCTCTCCGGTCCACGTGCACAGCAGGGCTGAGTCGGCCTGAAGCTGTGAGAAAAGCTCCGTGGGACTGGACATCTGGGTTCTGAGAAACACCCAGAGTTAGAGATGGAAGTGAGTAACACCACCTGCTATTCTTCATTGTTTATTCTGACTGAAACAGTGTCGTCAGTAGATGTGGCTCATATCCTCCTAAACTATAAACAATATTTGAAGCATTCTGCTTCACGTTGTTACGAGCATCATCCCAGACATAACATAATGTGGCTGCGTCAGTTTAAAACTACTGAGTAATTTATGAATAAAAAGGGTTTCCTGCTCAGTTTGGGCGTGGCTTTGGTTCCAGTTAGTGATGAGAACCGACCTGGGGAGTCCATCTGTGTCTTGGACCAGACGAAGTCTGTCTATCATCTGCTGCGTGGGTCCACCGCCCCCGTCCCCGAAGCCAAACAGAGCGGCGCTGTGGTTGGCTCTGCCTTTGTCTTTGTTGTTTTTCACAGTTTTAACAAGCTGTGGCCCAAAAAAAAAAAAAGCCACAAGATACAAAAAATAAAAATAAACATTGTACAACGTGTGAACTCACCGCCCTGCCCCACCAGATTCAACATTCTGTGTGCGCAACTCACATCTTCAACTTTCCCTTTCATTTCGTAGGAATTTCCAGGTGGGAAGTGAGTTAAAACCTTAGAACCATCAAGACCTTCCCAGAAAAATGTGTTGTGCTTTGGGGCAAAAAAAGGGTCAAAACTGAAATATTAAACTTTCAACGTGTTTTTAAAGCAAATACGGATCTTTCACTTACAGGAAAGGTGTTAATCAGATTCCAGCTGAGCTTCTGTGTCAGGAAATTAGAAATGCCACATCCCTGCATTATTTGAGGWAGCTGGGCGGAGTAGCCAAAAGTATCTGGAAGCCAGAACTGCAGAACAGCAGGCAAAGATTTGCTTTTAAAATCAGAACATAGATGGGATTATTTCAGGGTTTTGTACACGTTTTAAGAAATACTACCTCTTTGCAGTACATGCCAAACTCTTGGTTAAAGAAGCGCTGGCCCTGCAGGAACTGTCGAACCATGGACTCACCTGAGGGCAGATTCCCATCCTGAAAGGCGAAATGTTACTTAGGTTCAGAATGTCAGCTGACCTATGAATGCAATTCAAAAGGTCCAAAATATCATTTATTATTAAGTTTACCATTTCCACCCATGTTCCTCCCACAGGTATAAACTGGCCCGTCTTCACGTAATGCTGAATCTTGGAGAAGAGTCCTGGGTACCAGCTCTTGACCCAATGGAACTGCTGGGCCTGAAGACATGAAATCAGAGTCAAAACCAGATCCAAAAACCTACTAAAGTAAAACCACGTTAGTGAGGAACAACCTGAGAGCAAGTGAAGACAAACTCTGGGTTCTTCTCCATTAAACTGACCGCCGTCACCCAACTTCGGCCGCATTTACGGATCGTCTCTTCGTACGGCCAGAGCCAGGCTGTGGATTGAAAGTTATATATATATATATGAACTATTTTTTAGCAAAACTGGAGGGAGCCGAGACTGTAGACAGGCACTGGAACTAACAGCCCAAAATCTTAGGATCTGTTGCCTTTTCATGCCAAACTTCATTTATCTTAGTTGTATGAATCTTAGAATGTAGACATTTGGTCAAACCTTGAAACTAACATTACGCACAAGTCTATGCAACACTGTAAGATGCTGCACTCAGAGACTACCACATCAAATTTTAGGACTCCATCTGTAAAACTGACAGAGTCGCAGCCATTTTTATTTTTGGCTAACGTCGATTATTACATGTGGCAGCCATCTTTGAGCTGGATTGGCTCCAAAAGATAATCCATTAGAGATGTATATCCAATGATTACTTCTCTGATCAGTCCAGTGAATCATAAGATATTTAGGTCTCAGCTAAATYAGTTTATAGTGACAGCTTCTTGAGTTAACTGAAAAAAACAGCTCATTGCTATTTATATACCTGTTTTCTTATAAAGTAGTGATAAAATGAGCATAAAGACCTGAGTCTATGTGGCAGTGACCCATGGCATGAACAGTGTGCTGGCTTTCTCCGTTGCGCTGGTTGAAGAACTTCCGAGCCAGACTGTGAGCTTTAGAGAAGGAGCCRGTATCAAACGGGTCGCAGAGGTTCACCATCTCGTTGACGGTGAACAGGGCCTGGTAGCCTCGCTGTTCCCCCTCTCCCAGCTCCTGTTTGAGCAGGTTTTAAAGTTCACGTTAGTTGAAGGTTCCCTCTCTAACRTGAGCGTCATGTGTTATTTTTGAGGGGTAATACCTTAACGATGTCAACCAGCATCTCGAATTCAATCAGCAGGTTCAGGACGTCCCTGTTGAATATAACCAACTCAGCTTTCTGAACTGAAAACTTCCTGTTTGGGTCGGGAGCTGCAATCTGGGAGCCTTGACCAGCGCCAAAAAGTCCATTACAGGCCATTTCCACATACAGGGTGACACTGAGTGAGGGAAGCATAAAAACAAGAAGTTCAAAAGAAGCAGGAGTAACATTAATGTCTGAATATACTCAGCTGACCTGTGGGGCTTGTCATCTTTCAAACACTCTGTCAAGATGTAGCTCGTTTTTTCACCTTCTTTGGTCAGTCCCTGCAGGGTTACAGTCACATGTTACACCCTGCGAGCTCAGTCTGCACATTTTTACCAGACAAGCAGCTGCTGACTTAACCTGAACCGGCTGTCCGTCTCTCCAAATCATTCCCTCCCCATCACTTTCCCAGAGGAGATGCACCTCCTTCCCTCTCCAGGATTCAGGGATCCTCAAGGAGACTTTAAACCAGCAAGTCCACCACCTTCAACAATCAGTACACTTGGGTCAGAGCCATAAAAGAAACAACCCGAAGGTCGTAAAAAGTCTGGAAAATAATCACTCACGTCGGTCCAAAGGTACCACCGATTTCGTAAGGTTCGAAGTTCTGCTCCGAGGCTTCGCTGAACGTGATTCTGTCCGGAGTAAGGAAGGCGGCGATGCTTTCCACGGGGCAAGACTTCCCATAAAGCCTGCAGAGACGTGTAAAAAGCAGAGTCACACTTAATGCAACCACTTAAGTTATAATCCTAAATTAATTGGCAGTGTTTAAAATATGTAGTTTTAGATTATACAAAGACTGATTTGATTGTTTTAATTGAGTCGACTGTTATTTTGATGTTTTAATTCTGATTTCTGTAAGGCCATCTTGTGAGTTTTGAAAGGCACCTATAAATAAAATATAGTATTATTATTTACATTATTTGATCTCTTTAACTCCTTCAAACACTTTGTAGTCTTTCAGTTTACAGGACATCAGCTTCATTTCCCTTAACGCTTCTATTTGTTTTTTTTTTAAATCTCATGTATCATATTAGTTTCATTGTCTCCTTATGCATCCCTTTGTCTTTTTTGCCTTCTTTAATCGCGTGTCCTTCCTTATATATTTTATAAACCTTTTTAGTCTCCTTCTGTATCTTTTGCCTCTTTATGCTCCCTTTTCATGTTTCCTTATGCTCCTTTATTGTCCTTTTATGTCTCTGCTGTGTTTTTTTGCCCATCTTTCTTCTCTGTCTCCATATTTTTCAAGTATTTTAGCAATAATCAAAGTTCACCAATTAGTCATTTGGACCCTTTTCCAGCAAATGTCAGCAAAACCACTCAGCAGCCTTCAAACTGCATGTTTTTCTTTGCAGAAAACACGTTTTTATGGTTTTCATATTGAATGAAAGTTTCTTTTTTAATGCACTGAGCTACAAGGGTTGTTTTGAGTTCACTTGTCTTATCRGTTAGACTGTAAATGCTTAACCTCCTTTCCTGTAAATTGTCCCATATAAATGCACCCAAATATGTATCTATTTGCAGGGTAAAACCCTAAAACCACGATAGATTGAGTTGTTATACGATTTGACTGAATTAGACATTAAAAACAAACGCTTGGTCCGTTCATTGAGCAGCTCTGAATGGAAGCAGCCTTACCTTCCTCTCAGATTGCAGTCAGTGAAATACACATCGGAGATAAACTTCTCGGCTCTCTCGAGGAGTGTGCGCCTGTTTTTCAGCACAGGTAAGTGAAACATCACGAAACACAAGCAAAGAACACCTGAAACTCTAAAGAAGCTGTGTGTGTGCAAAAGAAATGGACGTAAACAGCGTGAAAGATGAATCAGAAGCGTCACACAGAACCCGGAAGTAAACAAAGTGGGTTTTTTTTACACATTTTGACCACTAGATGGCGGTGCTGCTCCACATCTGAAAAACACAAAACAAACCCAGTTTATTCTTGTCTAAATATAAGACATTAACTGTATGTGTAAATAATCTTTATTTTGYATATGATAAAAGCAAACATAAAAATTATTCAGTGAAATTTAGAAGAAGTTTATTGAGTCATATGTAATTTAAAAATAATGAGAAAAGCAGACTCTTGGTGAATAAAAGTCAACAAAAACTTTAATTGTATTTGAAAACACATTGGGTTTTTATTTTATTTAATTTTTGTTTTACAGCAATTATTTCTAATTAGTACACACACATAAAAAAAACAAATTTTGACAACCACCACACAAATATTCCAAGTTACAAATATATCCTGACATGTGCCATAAMAATTCTGTTTTTAAAGAAAAAGAATGGTAACAGCAGATACACGTTGGTGCACGCAGCAATGTGCAGACAAAATTGCATTGGATTACTAGTGAATGATACTTTAATGAGGATGCGACACTGTCATCTCATGCTTATTTCACAAGTTTTCCTCATGGTTTTCAATTTTGAAGCATTAAAACATAGAACATAAATTCAGGAACATCTATGTGGCTCCAGAATAAATGCATAGATGGAGGCTGACAGTTTTTTGATGATATCGTAACTCTCCAGTAGGACCAGCTACACTCTCCCTGACAAACGCTGGTGTGCCGAGTCTTGTGATCAGACTGGGGTTAGGAGGCAGCCCACGTACAGGCTGTAAACACAAAAGCTTGATTTTCTCTCTCAGCATTACTCAGGGAAAGAGCTGTGTTTGTAGGCCTCTAAGCACCCTTTTATTATGAAATCCATAGCGCAATTCTAAGTACAGGGTTGGTGGACACGTGCGCAGCTTGTCCCTCGCGGGTCATGGTTGTTGACTCCTAACCCTCTATTGTTTGGACTGTGGTCGGGCTTCCCAGCGCGTCAGAACAGCACTGCGGAGTGAGTGCCATGATCTGATTTGACCTGAGATTCCCACCAGTTTAGTTCTAGCCCTACACTCTGCTTGCCTGGAAGCTTCTGTGCGGAGCAGCTCATCATACCGTGTCAGATTAATAGCATTAAACATCCAGCAGGGAGGCCAACTGTGTTCGGACTCACACAACAGCAAAGAAGTGCCTCTTTGTGGTTTAAGGGGAGGAAAAATTGTTTCCCAAAACCCTAAAGCTGCATGCAGAGTTAATTACTGAATGTTGCATGCACCCACAGCTGTCCAAAGGGCCAAAGGATGACTTCACTATAACACAATGAATGAAGACAGGACTATGGACTGATGGAGATCCTTTGAATCGAGGTCCAGAACAAAATCTTATACTCTTGAACCGTATTCGTCTCTGTCGCCAACGTTGTATGCAACATTTTTGCTTTTGTTCTGTTCAGCAGTAGATCTGAAACAGAAAAAAATAAAATAAAATAAAATAAAATGGCAGGGTCATTTACATGAATACGTACCTGAAGTGTAGTCTTTGTTCATGACCATGAAAGACGTCTGAATAAAGATTGATCATTTATGATACATAAACACCTTTTTCCCCTTTGACACAGTCTGATGCACAAAACCAGCAAACCATCTCAGTAAGTTTTGTCAAAGGCAATTGGATTTTTTTTTTTAAAGACATTTCACCTCTAATCTGAGGAGCTTTCCAAGTTAAAATACAGCATAAGTTTTTAACCTAGGAGGGTCAAAATGAACAAACTTGGGCCTATAGCCAAGAGCCAGTCTTGGTCAATACTTATT